TCGCATTTCATAACAAAGGATTGTGCGGACAGTTGAAAAATGAAAAAATAAATTTACTTGTATCTTGTTTAAATGACTATTAATGGGTGTGTTACGGCTACAATAAATAGCAAGAATATGAGTTTTAAAAAAGAGCTTAATCTGTTAGTCGTAAAGAAAATAACTGATTTAATTCCGTCTAGAAAAATTAATATTTCAGACGATTTACCTAACGAAATAAAACTAGCTGATCACACATTTAATATTCCCGGTGAAATTGATATATTATTAGGCGCTGAAATATTTTATGAATTACTTAGACCAGGTCAAATTTATATTGGAGATTCTCGAATACTTTTTCAAAATACTGTGTTCGGATATGTCGCTGGCGGAAATGTCGATGAGATGAGGGATAACAAAATTCATTGTGGGTTAATACGAGATAGTGATTTAAATACTACATTAAAGAGTTTTTGGGAGTTGGAATCTATTGGTATCGAGGATAAGGGTATTAGTAGTGAAGAGGATATTAATTTGGAAATGTTTAAGGAAAATGTAAGTTTTAAAAATGGTAGGTATGAGGTTGAACTTCCGTGGAAAAGAAATAGTAGCGAGTTGAGTGATAATTTCAAATTAGCGAAAAAACGACTCGGAAGTTTTATGAGAAAAATGCAGAGTGATAAAGTTTTATATTCTAAGTATCGTAAGGTTTTAAAGGGTTACCTAGATGAGGGAATAATTGAGAAGTCTCTTTTTTACCACAAATAACCCAGTATTTTATCTTCCTCACCAAGTGATAATAAAAAATGAATCTCTCACAACAAAACTACGAATAGTGTTCGACGCCAGTGCACACGAAGTAGGACAGTTATCATTAAGCGACTGTTTGTATCAAGGGATAAATTTAAACCCAAACATTTTTGATTTGCTAATATCTTTTCGTCTAAACAAAATTGCTGTTTTAGCTGACGTCGAAAAAGCGTTTTTACAAATTTCTTTGGCTCAAAAAGATAAGGACGTTGTGAGATTCTTAGTGGTTAATAATGGAAAACAAGAAGTATTCAGATTTAATCGTGTGTTGTTTGGACTCAACGTGTCTCCATTTTTATTAGCAGCAACTACAAAGATTCATATTGATAAGTATGCAGAACAATATCCCAATACTGTACAGACACTCAATGAAAGCGTTTACGTCGACGATCTAATTTCTGGAGAAGATACTGTGGAATCAGCATTTGACTTGTCGAAGACTGCTGCAAAAATTATGAGTGATGCAGGGATGAACCTGCGAAAATGTATTACAAATGACTGTGATTTAATGAAACTATGGCGTTTAGAAAATTTTGACCATATAGACATAAACGATCTTAATGACCAGTTACATCGTGTTTTGGGACTGTTGTGGAGTCAAGATGATTATTTAAGCCTTGGTTTAAAGGGTCTTTTAGACTTTCTTCAGGAAAGGAAAAATACTAAACGCAGTGTTTTCATCATAGAAAAAAAATGGGTGAGAATTTCTCACCCTTTCTCAAAAACAGGGTGAGATTTCAGAAAGTTAAGTGAGATTTCTAAAAACTAAAAAAAACACAAATAGACTTGAGAAAAATATCATTTCTTTTATTATAATACATTTTTAGCGTCTTCTATTAAATACCAACGACCAACTACTTTTGGACTGGTTCGACTGTAGCCCTGTGTTGGATCCAAGGTCCTAGCAACAGATGGAAGGTCTTCGTCGCTAATCGTGTGAAAGAGATACAATCTTTGACAAACAAAGATTCTTGGCATCATTGTCCTGGAAAGGACAATCCTTCTGATCTTCTAACGAGAGGTATCAACGCCGACTTACTGTTGAACTGTGGAAAGTGGTGGCATGGGCCGCACTTTCTTCATGAACAAAATATTGTCTTTAAAGGTGACATTGTGGTACCTAGTGACAGCAATGAATACGATGAAGAACTAAAACAATCCGAACGAAAAACTCTGACTATGACTTTGGACAANACAAAATCCTTTCTTTGCATAATAATTTCCACAAAATTGTATGTGTTTTGAGTTATCTTTACAGGTTCATCGAAAATTGTAGGAATCCATTGTACAGAGAAATTGGACCGTTAAAGATCTGTGAAATCCAACGTGTGGAAACAACACTTTTAAGGCTGGTACAACAAGTGGAATTTTACTCGGAAGTGAAGGACTTGTCCAGTAAGGGTATGGTTAATCCAAAAAGTAAGATTAAAAATCTTTCACCTTTCTTAGATACTGAAGGTGTCTTGCGTGTAGGTGGGAGACTGGTACACAGTAATTTGAGTTTTGACAAAAAACACCAGATTATTCTTCCTAACAATCATAGATTGACCAATTTAATTCTTGAAATGACCCACAAAAGACAATTGCATGTTGGTCCGCAAACTTTGTTATCTATTGTTAGACAAAAATACTGGCCATTAAATGGTCGCAATATGTGTAGAAAATTAGTTCATAATTGTGTAGATTGCTTTAAAGCTAACCCTGTTACTTGTTCACAAATTATGGGTCAACTGCCAACCGAGAGAGTTTCTCAGAGTTTTCCCTTTAACTATGTCGGATTAGATTTTTGTGGACACTTCTGGATTAAATATCCCAATCAAAGGAAAGGAGTTTTAAACAAAGTATATATGTGTGTATTTGTGTGCATGGTCACTAAAGCATGTCATCTCGAAATAGTTACAGATCTATCTAGTGAAGCCTTCATCGCGGCTTTAAAGCGATTCTTTAGTAGACGAGGAAAATCTGAACGCATTTTTTCAGACAATGCTTCCAATTTTGTTGGTACGAAATTAGAGTTAAAAAGACTTAAAGAAATTTTGAGTAAATGTGATAATAATTTGAGTAATTTTTTGTGCGAGGAACGTGTTGAGTGGAGTTTCATTCCACCAAGAGCACCACATCAAGGGGGCCTTTGGGAGGCTGGGGTAAAAGCCGTTAAGCATCACCTTAGGAGAGTTATGAGTAATTCTAGATTTACTTATGAGCAATTTTTAACCATTCTTAACCAAATTGAGGGCATTCTCAATTCGCGTCCCCTCTACCCTTTATCATGTGACCCTGAGGATTTTGAAGCTTTAACTCCTGGTCATTTTCTAGTAGGCCGTCCCCTCACAGCGATAGCAGAGCCAAGTTTTACCGAAGTACCTGAAAACAGGTTAAAAGTATGGCAAAGATTATCAAAAATTGTACAACAAATTTGGAAGCTTTGGTCAAATAACTATCTGAGTACACTTCAAAATCGAACAAAATGGTATTTTGAGAAAAACAATGTAAAAATTAATGATATGGTAATTTTGAAAGAAGATAATTTGGCTGTGTGTAACTGGCCTCTTGGTCGAGTTCTTGAAGTGTATTCTGGTAAAGACAAGAAAATTAGAGTAGTATTAGTGAAAACTAAAAATGGAATTTTTAAACGTCCAATTACTAAACTTTGTATTTTACCATTCTCAAATGATCAATAAGTGTGAAAATTTAAATTTGTGTGTATTTTGAATATTTTAGTTTTATTGTGTACATTGTATTGAATTGTTTAATTTTAAGCATTGAATATGTCATTCAATCCGGGGGTGGATGTTCAGTGTTAGAGAGAGTATTGTGTTGTAGCGCCCCCTAGAGAGAAATTAATTAGTGTGTAACGAGAGGCAGTGTGCCTATGTGAGTGTTATGTGTAAGGAGTGAAACAATCTCCGAAAAATAAAAGTGATGATAATTTAAAGTTCCAGTCATCTTTTTTGTGTTGTGAATGTTTAGAGAACTAGCGTAATAAACAATATGAGCTTTTAAAGTAGTTTTTGCTCTCTATGCATGGGCGAAATAATTTTAGAAATTTTTTTATATATTTAACATTTTCATCCATTTAACATTTTTACATATTTAGTATATATTAAACAGGTGATCAAGAATTTAATGCATTCTTTAAAAAGTAATGATAATCAAGTCTCCACTCCAAACTAATCATCATGTAGATTAGGGAAAGATATACCACGTGATTGTTATTTTATCACGGAAGCCAGCTCAGAAGACAAGGAAACCCTTAATTTATGAACTAATTTTTTTGTGAAAGGCCTTTATGAACTGAGTTTGCGTTACTGGAGTGATAATTCTATTAATATTATTCGATTAATTTTTCATGTGTACTATAAAAAAATACACAATTGTAAAGTTCAATTTTTTTAAATTTGTCTACCATACTAAATTTAATGTCAATTAAATGAATACCAAGGTGGCCCTTGGGCGACTTAATTTTTATTGCTAAATTAAACCCTACGAATGGCCTAAGTATCTCTAAAGTTATAAAATAATCTTCTTAGTATTTCTTGAGAAATTAATAAAAATGTCAAACTCTGAAAGTGTCTCTCCCATTATTGTAGGGCAGTGTGTATTATTGTAACTCAATAGTTGTATTCTCTGTTGAATAATTACTCGCACAAACATGCGGAAGTAGAGTGTCTATCAATAATCCACAGTAAATCATTCTTATCTCTAAGAATATTTTAAAGTCACATTAAATTAATTTCGATAGACTATAATCAAATGATCACTGACAAAGTGTCCATCTTAAGGGTTCAAAAGACCTCAAAAATTAATAGTTTCTGATTTTTTTTTTTTTAATTTAATTTTTATCTATTGAGAGATATTTAGAGATTACCTATTCAGAGATGCATATACGGTCGATTTCGCTCAAATTTTGTAATATGCCATTTAAAATAATGTAAAAAATGTGAATATTTTACACTTATAATAGATTATAATAGATATAACAGAATAACTGAAATACACTAATAATAGATTTTCGTCCTGTGTTTCATCTTTATTCTAAATAAAAATTCATTAAGTAAAACTAATTTGCCACCTCGAATTGATTCGACATACTCAAACTGAGCCATTTTATAAGCATGTAAATCTTGGAGCCAACCTTAAAAAGTGATAAAGATACTGGCGTTATCTCTCCCCTCTTTTACAAACAAAACTGGAAATTCAACTCCTTATCAACCCATACCCAATATAACAGGTGCTCATAAGAGAAATTTTTTTTGTTTTGTTAATTTTTAATACTTTTTATTCCTGTACTGATTCACTCTTACTCTTTCACTTATTTTACACTACAATATTTTAAATCGTTAACTTTTTGACTCAGAAGTTTTATATTTTTCTCATTATTTTATAATAATTTAAGTCAAAATAAGTGAAAATATTATATTTAGCATTTTAATAATTAATGGTTACGAAATACAACATGAAACACCGTTGTCTTTCCTGCGTTAAAATTAAAATTTTCCAAACATGACACTTCCAAACAATCTTCAAATGTGCACTTATTTAGATTTAAATTAAGACAAACAATTATTCATTATTGAAATTACAAAATTAATTATTGATATATTTTTGAATAAGAATTATTGATACATTTTATAAAAAAAATTCTTTCGAATAACGCTTTTTAAAAAAATGCACAAATTATTTCCTGATAATCTAAACGAACTTTTTGTAACTATTCGAGTGTTTTTTATAATTAAAAAATACCTAAATATATTTTTGCTTATAATTAGAGGGTCAAAAAAAAATTATAAAACGAACACCAGTCTCCAATCTGCGTCAAAAGATTATTAATATTGCTACCTTTGTAATTTTTCGCCTACACTTTACGACAACAAATGAACCAACAGCAACGAAAACATTCTTTAAAAAAAAAAAAAAAAAAAAAAAATTAAAGCATTCTTTTATAAAACTTAAGTGCCACGAATATCTTTTTCGAAAAATATTTAATTTTTTAATCTTTTTTTTTTATTATTATTTTGTAAAAAAAATTTTTAATCGAGTATTTTAATATAAGCATCTTCACTTGAATTCCATAAATAACTATCACTGTGGTATACAGATTTTTTTTACAATCATTTTAAGGTTTCAAAAAAAAAAAAAAAGCAAGGGCTATAGTTTGATTATTCCCAGCATTTTCAATCGGATAATGCAATGCAGTATGCCCTTTAAATTTAAGTATAAAAAATGAACGAAAACACACGATATGTATGCTACGGACGGGGAGTGTCGATGAAGCTTTAAAGTAGTCTAGGGTTGCGTTTTATAGCTTTTATTATGACAAAAACACTTTAATGGCAATACAAAATAATTAGAGCTGGAACATCTTAATGAGCTCTCTCCCCGTAGCCGTTCAGTGAGTGAATGTAGAGGGAGTCTGCTTAACTACAGGTGGCGCTGCATGGCGTATGCAACACTCTGTCATCCTGACTTAGTTGGTCTCCGACTAATTGCTTTAAAGGTAAATATTAAACATCACAATAAAAAGAAAATATTTTGACAATTGAATTGAAATATAAAACAACAAATTTATGAAAATTTAAATCTAAACTAATTCTAAATATATTCAATTTTAATATAATATATAGTTGATAAAGTAAAAATGCATTTTTCAAAATTATTAAGTAAATGAATTTCTCTTCAACCTATAAAACTAGCAGAAAATAAGTAAAAAAAAAGATATTTTCAAGTATATAAATCTACAAAAAAAAATTTATCTCACTTCAGAAAAATATGATCAATATGAATATTTCAATGATTAAAATAGAAATTTGTTATTAATATTCAGTTAAATATGATCAATTAATATTTGATATATGCAATAAAATCCAAAATGAAAATAATAAGTTTTTTTAAAAAAAAATAATCGATAGTCTGTGTAAAAGTTCTTGCACTAATAAAATTTAAAAAAATCGAAAGTCAGTGCATAAGTTCTTGCACAATTGAAAAGTTCATAGTTCATATGAAAAAAAAGGAAAAAGTTTATGGATCTTCCCACGGTTTCATCAAGTCTACTGATGTGGATGTGACAGTTGGTCTTTCTCCTATACCGATCTTGTGAACATCATATCTATCGTTGGATCTAATTTTTGTCACTGTGTATGGACCGAAAAATTTTGGTCGAAGTTTCAAACTTGTCCCAAATTGGGTTCGTTTGATGGCAACTCTGTCGTGGAGCTTATACTTCGTTGCTGTCTTTCGTCTAGTCTTATAATTGTGCTTGGTTTTTTCTTGCATCCCAAGTATATTGCTTTTTGCTTCTTTTCGCATTTGTTGTTGATTTTCAAGTAAAATATGTATGTAAAAAATATATCCTAAAGAATATCCTAAAGAAGTAAAGCTAATATCCTAAAGAAGTTTGATTTTAATATTATTTTCAGTCCCATTAATAAGATAAAATTTTCTAATCTCAAGCAGCCCATTGACAGTCAAAGTAGCTGGGGTATATACCAAATTAATTGCCAATGCGGCCTTTCATATATTGGCCAAACTAAACGTGCCTTAAAGTGCCGTGTCAAGGAACATGAAGCTTATGTCGAAAAACAAGAATTTAAACGCTCATCTATTGCCCAACATTGTTGGGACTCTAATCATAATTTTAATTTTTCCTCCTCTAAAGTCATTCAAAATTGTTCTTCAATATTCGATTTAAATTTTTACGAGTCTTATCATATTTTCAAAAATTCCAAACTGTTGGTCAATGACCTATCAAGTGTTCCTTATATTTCTCCTGTTTGGAAATCTATGATAAAAACTAACTACCCCCCCCCCTCTTTGTTTCCTTGCTTCTTATTCGTCGTCTTCCGTTCACCCTCCCCTCCTATTGGTCGTTGCTCTAAACCCTCTTGTGACGTCATCTTTCTATATATATTTACTCTGTTCTCTCATTGTTTTCTGTCAAGTTTAACTCTGAGGTAGCTGAAATTGAACAAATGGACTCACACAGCAGTTTCCCTCCGATAAATCAGGCACCTGCTAAGAATCTAAAACGCAAAAAAGCCTCAGAAAGTCATGACGAGGAAAATGCGCAATTCCCAAATAAGCTCATTAATATTGAACCAAGCAAACATGATTTTATCAAACCAAAGAAAGTGGCTAGGATACCCCCAATTGTTATTGATCAAGAAGATCTCGATTGGAAAGATTTCTGCCAAAAACTTAAAGACAAAAATGTTACCGACTTCGAAGGAAAAGTCTCAAACGGCAAAACGATTATTAAACCAAGATCGGAAGCCACTCATAATGCCATTACGGCACAAGCAAAAGATATGAATTTGCCTTATCATACTTATAATCTTGAAGAAGATAAAACCCAAAAAGTAGTGATTAGAGGACTTCATAAAACCACTGACCCGGAAGATATAAAAAACCAACTTGTTTACGAAAATTATCCAGTGATAAATGTTACTCAACTGACTAAAAGAGTCAGAGGCGAAAAAGAAAAAATCCCCCTTTTCTTAGTCACGCTTAACAAACAAGCTGAAAATGCTAAGGACATATATGCTGTTAAAAGTCTACTGAATACTTCAAACGTAATCATAGAAAGCTATCGAGGCAGGGGCAAGGGCCCCATGCAATGCTATAAATGCCAGAGATTCATGCACACACAAACGGGATGCCACTACCCTGTTAGATGCGTTAAGTGTGGAGAAGGCCACCCATCCAAAGACTGCCCCAAATCAAGAGACACTGCAGCCAAGTGTGCGAATTGCGGAAGCGACCATACCGCAAACTTCAAAAAATGTCCTGAATACGAAGCACTGTTGAAGAGAATAAATAACAAAACCAGCAATGTCAGTAATCCCCAAAATCGAAATGCGCCAAGGAGGCCACCCCCCCCCAAGGAATAATATGTATATAAACAAATCATATGCCGACGCTCTCAAGCAACAGTCTCAG